CTCTTGTTCCTCCCACGCGGTTCTGGCGAGCTAAGAAAATGCTTGTCTCCCTGAGCTTGGCCTTCATAATTCCATTCCATCACAGCTATACATTCACTATGAGAAGTCTTGATAGCTTTCCATAAAACATCCTTTTTTTCCCCTTAGTGCATTTTTTGGGCTTCTTTTCACATTTCCAATAGAAGTTGCTACTGGAATGAATGATAGGAAGCTAAGTGCTTCAGTTCTTTTGCTGATTTTCAGTGCGATGTGGCAGACTCTCACTGATACAATTACTCTAAAGTAGTTGGTTTTGACCAGAAAATGTGATTATTGTTCTGAGAATTCAAGGTAAAAACCCGCTGCATTTAGGAATGCTGTTACTGAGTGCATGCTATTGCAATCTGTACCCAACTCTTTTCCTGAATTTCTGTGGATCAGAAATGTAATCCTGCATGTAATCTTCTTTGGGCAAGTGATTATCTCCCAGCATCATCTCCCTTGGATCCTTCTGATGTTAAATATAATTGACTTTCTTCTGATGCTGGGATATAAATGTAAATAATAACTTAAAGATTTGTATGACAATGCCAGGCAGCATCTTAGAGTAAAGTGGCTAGCAGCTATTGCAGTTAAGGATAATTTAATGAGTTTGAATCTCCAGGGTAAGATTAACTACATTCTAGGATACAGTAGAAACCTAATGATAGTCTGGCTAAAATTCTGTGTATTTTTTTCCTGTTAAGAAATCTTTGAGAACTGGTGAAGTACCAGATGACTGGAGGAAGCCAAATAATTTCTCTGTTTTCAAAAAGGGGGGGGAGGGACAATCTGGGGATTTACAGACCAATCAATCTGACATGTGTGAAAAAATTCGAGTGCAGACTCAAAAGAGAGATCTGTAAGCACCTTGAAAACAATGTAATTATTGTCCTCAATCTGGACATGGATGAGACTCTGAAATCCAGGAAATTTGCAGAATAACTTTTTGAACATCACAAAGGAGAAAATTGCCATGAGATATACTTGTAAAATTCATATATTTCAAGACAAAACAAGCAACACTGGAACTAAAAAGGAGTGAAACTCCTTTAAAACTTGGAAATACAGTAACTGAAATTTTTACCAAATGTACCTCCAAGCATACTCAAGAAAAGGAGAAATGTGAGATTTTTACTACTGTACTTAGATACAGATAGACTATTTCATTTTGTGTAGAGGTCTTTCTCTATGGATCCTGGCCAAGCTTTTGTGAACTCCACTGAGGAAGGTAATAGAATACAAAATGTTTCAGTTTATAAGTCACTGTTCTCTATCTTAGATGGGTGGAAATAAACATCCCAGAAAGAGAGAGAGAGAGTTCATTTATTATTCTTCAGTTCATAAAACTTACTCAAAAATACACAAGTAGGATTTTTAATTCGTTGTTAACTAACCTTATAGATATAAAAGTGGAAGCTCCTACTCATGCAGATCATAATCCAATAGTTGTAAGACTAAATACAGGAACTTCCAGACTGAAAAGATGGAGATTAATGAATTTATTATCACAAGAGGATATTAAACTAAAGTATCATCAGGAACTAAAGAGCTTCTTCCAAATCAATTTCAACCTTTGATGTTTCTTTATCCACAAGATGGGATGCTAACAAAGCATTTATGAGAGAATTGTTTATCTCTCTGGCATCAAATAGAAAGAAAGCTATGGAGAAACAGATGGATACATTGCTGAATGAACAGAAACAATTAGAACCAATTTGGGATTTAAAACAAAGGAGAAAAGCAATCAACAAAATTGATTGTTTGTTAATAGGATTAAACAAGACTTACAAGAAATTGAATTTGTTAAACTTAAATATTTTGAGCAAGGCAACATCAAATAAATTGTTGGCCTAGTAATTGCATAAGGAAAAAGACAAAAGAACTATTATTTCTGTTTGGGACAGAACCAAGTATATTTCTACAATGAAAGAGATGATGAAGCAATTTGTTAATTATTATTCCAAATTTTATGGTAAATAGACATCTGACCCAGAAATATTGAAGAATATCTAACCAAATCTTACTTACAGAATGTACAGATCAACAAAAATAAGTCCTTAATGTATAAGTGAAGACAAAACTAAAGCAATAAAAAAACTTAAATTCAACAAAGCTGTAGTACCTGATGGTATGTCTACAACATAATATAAGTTCTTCCAAGAAATCTTGGTAAAACCTTTAATTCAAATAATGTGTGAAATTCAGGAATGTTAATAATTTCTCCTGTCATGGAAAGAAGCCTTTATCTCTTTAATTTGGAAAGAAGGAAACAACTCGTCCAAAGTCATATAGATCTATTTCTTTATTGAACATAGATTATAAATTTTCCACAGCAATACTCACAAGGAGAATAATTTTTTTTTAACTGAACTGATACATTCTGATCAGATTGGATTTATTCTGATGAGATACATGAAAGACAATACCAGATATATTTTGACAAGATAAATCAGGAAAAAAAAAATTTTTTGGTGCAGAAAAGCTTTTGACAATTTAGAATGGTCTTTAATGTTCACAATTTTGAAAAAGATTATTTATGTCCTTAATTTTTCCACATGAACAGAGTATTTCCCCTTTTGCTTCACTATTAAGTATTTACTTTATGAAGGGGAAAGCACACTTGGAAATTTGAAAATTGTTTAATATGTTATTCAGAGCATCTGCTGGACCATATTTATAAATTCCTGGAAACTAAACAAGTCAAAAATTGTATGATTTAATGGATGAAGAATTTAGATGCTGAAATAGATATGCAACAATGGGAATTTCAATGGAAGAATAATATTAAATTTACATTGAATATTATTCTTAGAGAAAAGTGGTATAAGAAACTTTATCATTGGTATATTATCCTGGTCTCGATTGCCAAAATGGATAATTAATTTTCTAAAAATTGCTGGAAATGTAACAAGTCAGATCATTCTTTCACACTAGGCAGCAAAATTGTAAAGCTCAGCAATATGGGAAGATGATTCATACAAGAATGAATTAAATCTTAAAAGCTGGATTCCCATTTCAACCTGCAACATTTTTATTAAACTTTACTAAACCATATATTCTCACAAAGTATACTGAATTAGCTATGTATATGCTAATTGCTGCAAGGATGCTATATCCCTTTTATTGGAAAGGAGATTTTATTCCTATATGGAAGGATAGTTAACTAAATTATGGGAGTATGCTTCAATGTCTAGGATAACTTTGTATTTCAGCATAAATCTAATATAGAATTTAATTAAAATTGAAAATCTTTCTTAAACTACAATTCAGTACATGGATCTGTACCACATCCAAAATTTGGATTTCTCTCTGCATAAAATCTATACAAACTTCAAAACTGTAATAGACATTTTAATTTTTTAATTAATATTAGAAAATTATAATCTTATCTGACATTCAGTTAGCTGGTTAAGCACTGGTTGGATGGTATGGCAATTAAGTGGATCTATAGTTGATTTAAAAATCAGACTCAAGGAGTGCTTATCAGTGGAGCAGTCAACTCCACTCAAGTGAAATTAGGTTCAAAATGAACAAGATTCATTTCTGAGCCTTATACTCTTACATATATTTCTAAAATAGTTAAAGGAAGTGGTGGAGGGAATACTTATGAAATCTTCAGATGAAACAATATTGTGTGAGATGCTTGATGATTCATTAATTTCTGTTTATAAAGATAATTTTTCATTTTTCTCTCTTTAATTTTATTCTATTCTTTTTAGCCCATTTCTCTACCTTGTCACCAGAGAAAATGAAAAGATATCCTCTAAAGAAATAGAAATTAATGGATAGCTATAGGATAGGGGATACTTGGCTTGGTAATTATCTTGTAAAAAATCTTGGAATAATAATTGTTACAAACTAAGTAACAGGCAGCAGTGTGATGTGGCTGCAAAAAAATGCAAATGCAGTTTTACATTGCATCAAAAGAAGTTACTTATTCCCTATTGCTCCAAAATGCAAGACATGGAATAATGGATTTAAGTTACCAGTAGGCAGATTCTGACTGAATGTTAGAAAATTTTATTTGTTTGTTTGTTTGTTCAGCTGCCCATCTCACACAAAATTCCTAATAATGACAGGTGAACTAATTATCCAGAGAGGTGCTGGACTTCCCTGAACTGAATGTGTTCAAGTGGAAACCAGACATCCATCTGTAGGACTTTGAAATCATGAACCTAGATTCTTGCAAAGGATTGGACTCATTAGGCTAAGTGGCTCTTTTCAAATCTATGATTCTGTGATGTACATAGAAAAATAAATATAACATTTATAACAAGCCTCACATATTTCTCTATCTTTCTTGTAACAGACAAGCCTAAGAGATGAATCTGAATCTTTGGAATACCAAAGATATATTTATGACTCCAACAAAAATGGGGTAAGAAGCTTATTGCTGCCATTGTCATTGATTTGTATTATTTATCATTATGAACACCATAAATTCAAACCATGACTTTTAATTTTGATTTGAAAGCAAACTGTGGTCAGTGGTACCCATAATTTGTTCAATGTGGACCTTATGTCAAATTCTTGTTACAAGTAATCATAAATGGTGGAGAACAGGGTTGGATAGAGAGTTTATAGATGTGGCCCATTTCTACAAACTAAACTCTGATTTGACTGTAATGTCCTTATTGAACCTTTGAGACAATTTATGCAATACATTGTGGCATCAGGTGTGGACCAATAACTGCTCACTTGAGTAGTTCACTCACCTGAGCGATAGAGTGACGAAGGTTCACTGGAACAATTAGAATTGGTTTGATGGGTCAGCCTAAAGTCTGTCTAATCTAGCATCCTGTTTCTGACAAAAGCTAGTTGGATGCCTCAGAATAAGCAGAGAACTGAGGCAATAGCTATTTTTGCCTTCCACAGTTCATAATGGTGGAATCCATTACTAACTCTTTATTTGGCAGTTCGGTTTAGGAGCTCGCAATGACTAGTATTTCCAAAATGTTCAGGTATCTATTTGGGACTAAAGGAATTTCAGCTCAGGAAAGTTACTGCTTAGTCATCCACGAATGTGTCAGCAGAATTTATTAGATGCTATCTGTTTTATAAATGTGGTGTTAATGGTGTATTTTAATCATTCTTAATTGCATATTTAATTGTTTTGCTATTTTTGTTTTGTTAGGGTTAGCTGCCTTGGGCACCACTTTTGTCTGGAAAGGCATAGTATAGAATTAAATAGACACATGAGCTTTTCTCTGATATTGTACCCATGAGAACAGAGGTTTGTTCATGTCAGAACTGTTTTCGTGATATTTGAATAATTCCCAGTGATCACGACAGCATATGATCCTTGCTTTTAGAATAGGAAATCACAGCTGCCCCAGTGAATTTACATCAAAAGCATTTGTTTAGCCTATTTACAAATTTAAAAACAGAGGATGCAATGCATGATGATGTATTTTGAAGACAACAGCTTTGTAAATTAAGGAAATCTGTAGTATGAATTTATAGAGTTGATCCTGCTGGTATTTATTATAATGTACAAACATATCCACTAAATCTGAGAGAATGTACAGTTTGCTATTTTTTTCTGAAAATATCAACCTTTTTCAGATTGGAACAACATTGGTCTGATGTTTACTTGAGAGGAAATATTAAAATGTGCATAAGTTATTGTTTGACTGCCAGATTAAATTTCTGGAGGCTTTGTAAGCATTTTATTTCTGTGATTTCTCTTGGGCTCTTTTATAGTACAGTTTATTGTGTGAAAAGGCATCTTCAGTATTGATGAAAACTGCACTGAAATGAATCATAATGCTCAAAAAATATAATTTACTCATACAACAGTATAGCATAGTTTACATGCTTATGAGCTTGGGTATGAGTTTCTGTTTAGAAGTTTATTTCTTTCTCAAATCACATAAGAACAGCTCTTGCATCTTAGTAGTAGCAAGAACAAACATATTTTTCCATGTAGACGAAAAAATGACAAAGGATTTTTTAAAAGACATGAGAGACAGACACAGAGAGAGAGACAAAATAGAACATTCCATAATCAGAATAATCAGTATGTTAATTGCAGTGCAGTTTAGTGAGGAATGGGGCCCACTGAGTATATGCTATCTAAATTATATTAGTGAAACTATTGTGAAAATCTACCAAGGTACTGAATTCTCTGCTCTTTTGCTTTGCTATGATGGTGGTTAAAGAAGAAGATTAAAGCAAGAAAATAATTAAAAACAAAGCAGAAAGTGTTAACATGGAAACAGTACAATTAATATTTTTGACATGATTTCTGTTTAAATAACCACATGCTGTTTGATTGTGTTATGGTCTAGGATTAGGGATTTGGTTTTTTTTACAAGGCTCTGAAGTTAAGCTTATTAGATCCCTATCTAAATCACTTCTAGTGCTACAGTTTTTTCTCAGTGCTGTAAAGAGCACAATAGCACAAGAAAACTCATGGAAGAAAATCTCACAGGGAGGATGGAATTTTCCTTTCTGAAGATAGCGTCGAAGTTCTTCCTTTAGGAATGTGAGAGACATTTGACTTTCCAACTAATGATGCAGAGTCATTTGCAAACCCTGGAGAAATAAAAGGTCTAGATGCTGGATGGCTACTCTTTTAGGTTTGGGTGTTGATCCCATCTCATGCCAGCTTAATTTTGAT